TAGGGACCGGCTGTGCAGCTCAGAACAGCCCTGGGAAATTCCACCCAAACTTGGTGATTTGGGTCTCCAGAAAATCCCGCATTAGGCTTGAAGTTGGTTTGGTGGGGTATTTTCTTCTGTGGATTTCTGTAGTTGCATTCTGGATTCTCAAGCAAGGAGCTTCTGTCCCAGCTTTTCAAATAATTCACAAAGGAATCTTTCCTTCTGCCTCTTTTGAACTTGCAGCCTGCCCAGGCATGCTACTTTTTAAGCCCAAACATGTCCCATTTTATACCCGTTTCCAGTGCAAATCACTACCCAACAGATTAAAACCTTAAGTGCCAATAAAGCATGATAGCAATGGGAGCAATTTGGTGTAACTGGCAGCACATGTTTATTGAAATGACTGGCAATTGTAGTGAAAGTGGGGAAAAAAACACCCAACTGCTTACCCTGAGCAAGTCTACATCACAGATGGTCCTTCCTTGGGCTGAGGGTGACCAGTCACTTCACAAAAACCCTCTCACCAAGGGTAAGCAAAGTTACTGGGGTGAAAGATCTGGAATACAGGTCTGGAATAAAGGCCTCTGGGTCTCATTATTTGCAGCATAACCTTTGATATCTGACGAGTGTAAAAACGAGCTGGAATATCTGGTCTTCATCCAGGCTGGGAAAGAGCTGTCCCTGCTTTGTAGTGCCACTAAGGGAGCCTAAAGAACATTTAAATATCCTGCTCTGAGTGTGTGTGAGGCTGCTGCAAGCATCACAGCCTGCACAGACACAGTTTGCTTTTCAGGTTCAAGTGTGCTTGAGGGCTGGACCTCGAGGATGTCCTCATGCCATTGCTTTCCTGGGCTGTCCCTGGTGAGATCTTCCAAGAGGCTTTGGAAAAGCAGCTCCCAGCCTGTGACATCTCTATATTCACTGGCACCCCTTCCCCCACTTCTTTTTTGTTCCTTTTTCTCCAGGGATTTGCTTGCTAGTTTTTAAATATTTGCATATTTCAGTGCTTTCTTTCTGTTGGTAACCAAGACTGTTTGGTAAAAGCTGAGACATTTCTGAATGTAAGTCAGGCAAAAAATTACCTTTTTTGTGTGCTTTGCAATTATCACAGCAAAATGATTCCTTTCTTCCTCCCGCAGTCAGTAATTTATTTTTTAACAGAAAATCTAAAATGTTACTTCAAGAATGCTGGGTTAATGCTGTTCTTGTTTTGCCTGTGAAGTTAAGCTGGCTTCATGACTGAAGTGTTTGTCTTCAATTTATAAAATTGCTTGTGGGTATGTCCCAGTTTGAGAAGACACAAGAAGCATTCACAAGCAAGAAAATCTCAGGTTGCAAGTTTGCTGTTTGGTAATGAAAGGAGAAGACCAATCCTCATCCCGTGTTTTCAACTTGCCTTTGCCAGCACTTCTAAAGTGTCTTTTCCCTGTTTTCTGCAAAAATCCTAAGGCGTAAAACTGACTGTTAGGATAATCACAGGGATCTTTGATCACCTCTTTCAGCATCTCCTGCTTCTTCCTGCTGATCCTGCACTGGTGCCAGCCCACGTGGATGGGGATTCCTGTGCCCAGCCTGGGGCAGCCTCTCCTGAGCAGTGTTTCATCAAGATGTGATGGAGACAGAACTGGAATAAATAATGCTGGTGAGAAATCACCAAGTCTTTCCCTTCCCAAAGCCCACAGTTGTCTTTTTGGTCCATTTGAAGTTCTGTTGGAGCAGAAAAAGGGATTTTTTTTTTCTCTTGTTTGTCTTTGTGTTCACTGCTGGGACTGCTGTGGCTTTTGGGGGGCTCTTTAGTGACCACCCTGATCCTGCCAGCTTGGGCCAAGACCACCCTTTGCTGCAGCTTAGTCTGTTTGGGGTAGAGAGGTCCTGAGAAACAATGGTTTGGAAATGTCCCGGTTTAATGAGTGCCCAGTTTAGGGAAATGAGGGTAAATGCTGGTTGCAGGATAGGAATATGAAGGCTGGGGCTAAAGTGCGGCTTTTCTGACTGCTTGAGCAAACATTCCAGGTGCTCTGCTTGACAGCTGCTGCATGTCCAGCACACCTGAAATCCTCTCAGTCACAGTTCTGCATAAATGCTTGGGAATTTTCCCCAATGGCAATAGAGAACTGCTTTGCTGCACAGTCACCTTGTTATAGAATCACAGAATAGTTTGGGTTGCAAGGGGTCTTAAAGATCACTTGGTTCCTGTCACCTTGCCAAAGGTGGTGACAGGGGAGCAAGGAGCCTGCTGGGGCTCATTTCTTCTTGTTCTGCATAATTTGAGGGCTGGATTTTGACATGGAGAGTCAATAGAAACCCCTCTTTCCTCTGGGGTCATTTAATCCCTGTGCAAGGGGATTAAGACATGGCAAAGGAGCTGCAGAAGTCAGGAAGGAGGTTCTGCTACAAACCAAAGTGAGGGCCAGGAGCCTTTCCCCACTGCTGTGGCCCCTCCATCTCAATATCCTTCTAATATCTGCTAATCGGCTTTTCATTTGTAGGCTCCGTTTTAATTCACCGGTGTCCGAACCCCCGGCATTAAGTTGGCAAGCTCGTGTCTGTGTAAAAACTGTAAGTCAGGACTGGGCAAACGGCTCCAGGAGTGCCGTGAGCTTGGCGTGTGTCGAGGGGATTTGCATTTTGAAGACAGAGCTAATCCCTTTTCTATGGTCTGCACTCGTAGGCAGCTGCCCCAGGAGCGTTTTGCTCGTCCTCTTCTCCATCCACCCTCGCTGTTGGAGGGGATTTCAGAACAAAGAGGGCCGTGGGTCAGGGCTGGGAGCAGGGACCTGGCATGCAGGGACCTGGCTGAAGCCTCTGCTCACACACAGCCACTCAAGGTGACCCTGGATAAGTCCTGCAGGCTGCACCTACCGGGCACCAGGGCAGGCTTACGCATGCGGACACCCAATCCATCCATGAACCTGGCCCCCAGCCCAGCCCTGGCTCTGGTGGCCAGCCCAGGCCAGGAGACCTGCTGGGAGACACTGCTGGACAGGAATAAATACATAAACACCTTAGCAGCACTTCCAGGCAGCCTGTTAAAACCTGAATTGCCTCTGCTCGGTGTTGCTGAGGTTGTTTTGTGAGCTCTGTGGAAATCCGGGCAGGTTTCTGCTCCTCTGATCTGCAGAGCTTTCTAAAGAGCTGCTGTTGAGTGAGGGTTGGATTTCATATCATCTCAGCTTGATGATGCACATGCTGCAGAATCTGCTCTACCCAGCAGCTGACGGTGGAGTGTCCAGGGTCCCTGGATGAGACATGATGTTCAAAGTCAGCTGCAGGATGCAGATCCTCAGCACTCCCAGAAATGGAGTGTTAGAGCTAAATGCTCAGCTGGCTTTTCCAAGCAAGCACAACTCTTGTGAACATCCCTTTTGCTTCTATTTCATTAGGAGAATTAACCTCAATATCTGTCCCGAAAGTAGGAGAATTGAATGCCAAGAAATTTGGCTGGGTTTGACTGCTGTGCTTCATTTACAGAGGCCACAATGATCTTCCCACACTGTGGGTGATTATTTGCCCCAGCCATGTGCAATGACACTTTTACACAGTAGGGATGAGGGATTTGGAAGCTGAGGAGGATTTTTTGAACCATTTCCAGCCCCTTCTGTGTGACTCTTGAGTTACCTGCCAAGTTTCTCTTAGATTCAAAGAGGGCAAGCTGCCTGCTTACCTTTTGAGGAACAAGAGCTACAATACCAATTTCTGTTCCATGAATTCTTCCCTTTCCGACCTACATTATCCAGTTCTGGGAGGGAAAATGTTTCCCTTAGAAAATCTCCCAGCAGCTTCACAGCTCCACACCAAGCCCATCACTATGTCAGGGAATTATCTTATCATTATCATTATCAATCCTCAAAAATTACCAAGTTTGCAACTGTAACAAACAAATATTACCAAATACCCTTCTTTAAAAATTTTAAAAATATTAACGTCTTTATAAATACTTTTTCAAATACAACTTTTACTTCTACACTCACAAAAAACCCCTAACCAATCATGTTGGTAAGTATGACAGTGTTCGGTCTCCGACCCCTTCTCTTGGAGTGGGAACACTTGCACCAAAGCAGACAGTCCTCACCTCAGTGTTAGTCCTGGGGAAAAAAGCCCAGTGCTGACAATCTTTGATGTGATTATTTCATATCACATCTGGTGGATGTTTCCAGAGCAAGGAAACCACCCAGCACAGCACAGGCAGGTGGCTCTTGTTGGCCATGCAGGATTGCAGGGGAAGAAAACAGAGATGGGTTGCATTTGAAATAAAGCTCATGTGAAAATTTGCATAATAACATGTAAAAAAATGTGCCCTGAAACTAAATATAGTGCATTGCTATTTTACCAACCTCTGGTTAATCAAAGTTAATAACATTATAATGTAACAGACGTTGTCTCACTGCATATCAAATTTCTGTTCTTCCAAACCATTGGCATGGCTCTACATAAAGAGTGCAGTGGAAAACAAAATCCCAGGGATACTACACTTCAAATCACAACTAAACTTGCTTTTACATGATTAAAAAAAAAAAAAAGTTGTAATTCTTTCAGTCTCACCATGTGATCTGAAGTAAACCTAGGTGAAAGGACTGTGGAAGGGCTACTGGAAGGAAATACCTGTTTCCAGTGCTCTGGAAATAGCCAGGTTTGTCTGTCATGGCTGGAACAGACATATAAATATTTACTTGAATCAAACCCAGAGTTTTCTGTAGAAAGAAAGAATGTTTTCAGGTAAAGCCTTTCAGCTTGCTCTATTTAATCTGCAGTGTTTTGAGGCTCTCAGAGGAGCATTATCACTTTGAGCATTAGCCAAGGCTGGTCCTACAGGAAAGTCAGAGAAGAAAGCATCAATCCTTTCTTTGATTTTTCTGTTTCTTTATCTTTTTTTTCTTTTTCTTTTTTAAGAAATTTGTCCTCTAAATCTCACATCTTTCCATTTTCTCCTTCAGTTTCTATCACAAAGTGTGATCTCTGTCCTACCAAGTTCTTGCTGTGGCTCCAAGGTGCATTGCACGTATTATGTGGGAGTCCAGGTCTTCCCTCTGGCTGCCCTGGCAGGTCTGGGAGCCTGGCAGGGGTCAGGAACCCCCCTGGACAGAGCCCCCAGAGACACTGGCTGTGATCTCTGTCCATGGAAAAGAGTTTTCAATCTTACAGGGTGAATTACCAGCTCTGAGTGTTTGATAGAAGTAATAATTAGGTGTGGCATGGGTGCAAAAGTAAAATTTTAGGGTTGTAGATTAGGGGTTCAAAGGGGACAAGATGGAGGAAATTGGGTGTGCCTTGTCCTTTTTCTCCTTCTTCATGCCCTCCATGTCTCACTGTGGTGTTGGCATTTTTCTGTTGGTTCAGGCTGGGGACACACTGTCCAACGTAGGTGACAGATATTGGCACGTTCTTGTAAATCCAGCCCAGGGAGTTTCTGGTATTTAATGTTTGTCACATCCCACTGAGGGCAGAGCCCCACACGCTGCCCTGCAGGACAGAGCTGGGCAGGGCAGCAGAACATGTTAGAGATAAACAGAATAAACAACCTGGAAACCAGCACAGATTAATTACAACTTCTTCTTTGGCAGCGGGGCTGAAAGACAGAGACTTTCTACAATCTCGGAATCATCAATAGCACAGATTCTGACAGTATTTCTGTGTAAAATAAAAAAGCAGAGCAGGGAGCAGTGACCCTGTGCAAGCTTTTCTGGCCTGGACAGTCCCAACCTCTCGCTGGTATTCCTACAGGAGCCAACAGCAGCTCTGATGGGCTGTGTGGTGTTTGATCCCACACAAACCCCTCTGGAAACCACGCTGAGTGAAACTCTCCCATTTCTGAGGTGATGTTGGGTGCCCTCAGCCGGGTTTGACGCCACGAGGACGGCGGCGTTGGGCACGTTCCTGGAAAAGCCCTCTCGGAGCCCCTGTGGGCTGAGCTCCTCCAGCCACGGCCGCTGTTAATAGGTTAATGAGCCCCTCGTCTGGCGGGGCTAGAGTGCCTGGCTTTCCAAGATAAAACTATCCAGCCACATTAGGAGGATGGGCCTCTTTATGACTGAACGCCATTCATCCTGAGTACACAAGAGCTCGCAAATTTAATAAGCAGAATCCATTTCAGCCCCGTGGCCTACCATGGCAACAGGAGAGAGGGGCTCCAGCCTCCGCTGCTCAGGCATCATTATCTCCAGGGCCATCTGCTCCAGAGAAGCACAATCCCAAACTCATTTAAATAGAGCCAGCCTGAAATATGTGACGATTTTTCCCAGTCTCCCACCCCCTCCCTGCACACGGCTACACCTCCGCACACAAGCGGGAGGAGATGTAATATTCAAAGGGTGAGGAGAGGGTATGGGAGATAAGATTATAGTGATAATGAACTGAGGGAAGGAGAACGGGGGAGGGAGGAACTTTCTGCCTTTGGCTGCTGTTCCCTGACAAAGCAAGAGGTTGCAATAAATTATAAATGTATTTTTTCAAATTGTCTTCTTGGAAGAAATATTTCCTAAACAATGATTCATCATCCTCCCCAGAACTCTGCCTCTCTGGAACAATTAAGCAGTGAAGAAAACTTGCTCAGTTAATTCATCTCTTTCCATGTTTTCTGACTGACGGTTTACCGTCTTTGTCATAAGTGGATAAAATAAATTACTTAAATGTGTTCACCCCTTGTAACTGGTGACACTTGAGACAGCAAATGG